TAAGTGGAGTTACCTTATTCTAAAGGTTTACTCTGTCAGTGTACAATAATTTTGCGAATGCCGCTTTTCACCCTAATAACATCAGATTTCCACTATTATTTTTTAGGGTAATGCGATCAGGATAACAACAGTGACTTATGAGTATCTGTGGCCCCATATCAAGCAATTTGTCTACCAATCAAGTATCAACAGATCCAGGGGCTACAGAGATAGAGATAGATTGTTTGTACCTTCACAACAAAGAGAGGCTTCACTTAAAGGCTTTGCCTCTACCTAATTGGCTAGTTGAGAGGCACTCCCAAGTCCTTTAGACAATTCCAAGCCACTGATATGCCTGGGGAATGAATGAACCAGTTGAATTGCTATAGCCATTTTCCATGGCAAGTGAGAGTTGAGTAGTCAGTCTTTTCATTCATTTGTTCACTCATTCAGTAAATGTTGATTGAATGCCCACATGGCAGATGCTCTTCTAAGTGCTGATCACATAGCAAGAAAGTGAGAAACAAGGTACCTGTTTTCACGATGCTTATACTCAAGTGGAGGGAGATGCTAAATACATACCTTCATTCATTAACATATGCCACATAATACATGAGTTAATATATGAGGGAACCAGAAATATAGTCTATAGTGGTCAATGTGAGGCAGAGAACTGAAGTGGAAAGAGTAAGTGAATAGAAAGAATGAGAGGGGACTTAGTTTAGGTGTTCATGCAAGGCTTCTCTGAAGAAGTGAGATTTACGGTGAGATCTGATATCAATCGTAGGGTAAGAAGTGGCAGTCCGTGTGGACCCATGATTCCTCGTCCCACGTGGATGCAGAAAGATCTGTTTCTAAACTGCTCCAGACTCCGTGAGTGACTCCCCTGAGTTACAGCAATAGGCCTCTAGAAGACCCTTGTTTAAATAAAAAGTTGTTATTTATAAACTGAAACTATTAGCCATCATCACCTTAGTATGAAATCAGGCTGATTATCCAGTCATTCACTATTATTAAAGGGACTGAAAGGGCCGTTTAGAGAACGCTGCCTGGAGACGGGGGGTGGGTGGCCACTGCTGACGTAGGGATGGCAGGGAGAGGAGGAACAGGCCTGGAAGGCCAAATGTAGCCTGGGGCCCTGGGCTCTTGGAGGCCTGGTGAAACATTTTCCTGTATTACTTATGCATTGGAATAACTTCCCTGACTTCCTCTGGGTTAAAACAGCTGCTTATGGAGGCTCTTCTCAAAGCCCTTCTCAAGCTTTGCTATCTCACATGGAGCTTTTCCAGGCTCTACTGCTGTGGGGAGGATGATGTGACATGGTGAAAGGTGGCAGCATGGAGGCCTCAGTGTGCATGGGGTTTTGTCTACATCATCGTAGTTGATCCTCCAGGGGCGCAACAGCAGGCACTCACCTTTGAAAACAGTGGTGTATGAGTTAAAAGGTCCTTGTTCCCATAAAGATACACCTTCAAAAACTACAGAAATAAAGAGTTACAGATGCAATGTTTGGTGGGAATGTTGGCAGCCCAGAAGGGGTCTGCTCAATGAAAAAGGCCGTGGCAGCGACTGGCAGAGAGCTATAGGCAGGCTGAAATCAGCTACCCACAGCTTCAGCAGCAGCCGAGAAAGGCAAATGTGGCAGGGGGCAGAAACTACAGTAAGCAAAAGCTGGTAAAAAGGTCCAGGACAATGCCTGCAGGTGGCAGACAGAGCAAGGCCACAAGGATTTGCAGCAAGAACAGAAAATCCTTCATTAAAGGGAAACTTCTCTGAGGTTTGGCAGCATCCTTAAACAGAAAAACGTGGACCCCAAGGCTGGCAAGCCTAGAGCTCTCCCTGTCTGCTAGCTGGTGCCTCTAAGAAAAGAACTGGTGATCATCGTCAAACTTAGATCTGGGCAGCACATTTATCAGTAGGCATTTCATGTGTAACTAAACTGGTTACCAAATTCTGTTCCATTTGCATATCGAGTGCAGCCATGGCTCAGTGACTTGTTTCTATACCAAAGAAATGTGAGGAGGCATTTCCCAGAGCAGAACTCTCTGCATCCGGGTGTTGCTGCAGGTGTTATGCAGACTGGACTGGGGCTCAGGCAAGGTCAGGCTGCCCCCAGCCCTCCCAACTTTGTGGGGAGGAAAGCAAATGCTATTGTTTCTCTGAAAGCAGGGAGTAATGATGACCTTCTAGGAGGACAAGGGTGGGTTCCCCTCCTTCACCCATTACAATACAAGTGTTTGGATGTGCCTGTAGGCTGAGAGGTGGGAGTAGTCAAGGAAAATGGTTCTACAATCAGTTCCTTCTTATGAACTGTAACTTCTTTCTAAAATGTATTTTTAGAAATGTCACCACATACAATTTGTGTTTTTGCATATCAAAATTGGTTGACTATAGGACAAATATTGGAATTAAAATTCCACTCATGGTCAGATGAAGCATTATCGTGCTATAATTCCTTCCGTCTTTGGAGGTTTCTTCTCTGTGTCCCAGGACACTAGGCTCTCCAGGTGTCTATTCACTGGCCACCCCTCCTTAGTCCCCTCTGGTGGATCTTTCTCGCTTCCCTTAACTTTGAACATCTAACCAAGGGCCTTTCTCACCTGTTTCTTCACTCTTTTGCTTTGTCATCTCATCTGTTGCGTGGCTTTGAGTGTTGTCTACATGTTATAAACATGTTTTACTTCTCCCATCCAGTCTTCTCACCTAACTCCAGATTCATAAATCCACCTGCTCACTTAGCCTTCATTTGATGCCTATTACCCCCAAATCCTCACCCAATTCTCTCTGTCCCAATTATGGCAATTCCATTCTTCCAGTCATTTAAGCCCTGGCGATCATTCTTAACTCTTGTCTTTCTCTCAAAATCCATATCAAATTGTCAACAAAACTTGTGGGATTTGCCTTCAAAATGTACCTAGACTCTGACAGCTTCTCAATATCTCCACTGCTGTCACCCTGGTCCACCAGGTCTCCCTAGACTGCTGGATTAGCCCTCTTACTCCGCTTCCTGCTTCTGCCCTTGAACCTAGTAGGCTCTTCCCAACTCAGCAGCCCATGTGGTCCTGCTAGATTGTAAGTCGGATCTGGTCACGCCTCTATTCCAAGCCGTCCGGTCGTTTCCCAGTTGGCTCAGAGGGAAAGCCACAGCTCTCGCAGTCTGCACCTGCTCCCTGCCATAGCCCCCTCCTGTGGGGTCCCTCCCCTCCGGCCATGCTCATCTCCTTTTCCTCCAACACACCCTGAATGTTCCTGCCTGGAGGCCTTAGACTCGCATTTCCCAGGCTGCTCTTCCCCAGATGTCCACATGGCATTTCCCCACATGGCACCTGCTCAAACAGCAGGGTGGACTGTTGCTGCAGGCAGGGCGCTGATTGGATCCTGCAGTCTAAAATCATGTTTTTCTTCCCTACCTCGTTCATCCCTGCCTTATTTTTCACCAGAGCTGTCTTCAGCATCTAACATGTCCCATGTTCGTACACATTACTCTCTGCCATTGGTTGTCCCCCTCACTGGACTCCAGAAAGGCGGATTCTGTCTGTATTGTCCCCTGGGCACTTAGGCCCCTCGCTGAGGCACAGAAGAAAGTCCTTCCTTCTTAGGAAGATAATGGCCGCGACGACAAATCTGTTCAACCAAGACCTTTTTTTTTTTTTATTTTTTTTTTTTTAAAGCTCTTCTTAAATGCCAGCAAATAAATGTAGGAGGAATGATGAAATTAGAAGATCATCATTTTGCAACCCATGCTAAAATCCTTGGGTAAAAGACAGCTGGGTTACAGGACACTTGGCAGTGCCAAATTATCATGCCAGAGATTACTTGCTACTTATGAAGAGGAAACTTTTAACTTTTCAATGGAGAAAAGAGGCAGTTAACACTTCAACCAAGTGATCCACCTGAAATGACTAACAATGGGCCATCTTCACATTGACGTGATGCAATGGAAAGTTTATATTACGATGAAGTGTTCTAGCCATACAGCTCAATTGAATCAAGCCGCTGACTCTATTTCCACTCACAGGAAATATACAGTGTAGATGAACAAGTGAAACCCTACAATGAAACAGGCAAATTTAGAACATGGAACATTCTACAAGGTAACAGCTCTGGCTCTTCAGAAAATCTCCTACCATGGGGAAAAAGGAAAAGTAAGGGGACTCTTTAGATGTAAAAAGTACAGAGATGTAACAACCAAGTGATACAATGGATGAAGTTAATTCAGTATTTGAAGAAAAAAATCTGTAAAAGATATTTTTAGGAAAATTGGGGAAATTTGAAGATGAAATGGATGCTAAGTGATATTGTGAAACTATTTTTCTTTTTCTTTTTTGGGGAATTAATAATGGTATTGTGGTCATGAGGAGAATATCCTTCTTAGGAAATGATGCTGTGGTACAAGAGTTGAGGGACATGGTATTTGCAGTTCATTTACAAACGATTTTAGGAAGAAAAAGCAAATAGGTGTGTGTGTATATAGAGAGAGAGAGCATGCACAGATTTTTCAAAATATTAAAAATTGTTATCTTGGTGAAGAGTATTAGGCATTTATTGTACTATTCTTTACATTTTTCTGTATATTTGAAATTTTTCAAAATAAAAAGTTGAGGAAAAGCAAAAATGCATGTAAATTAACTTTAAAAACCTACTGATCCACTAATGTTCTGTCCTCTGATGGCCTATTTTAGGAATATTTTATTTGTGTCATGTCTGGATAAATTCAGTTGTAATAGGAAATAGCAGCCAAAACCAGGATGAAGAAAGTGGAACTTGCTGTTGAGTCCTGGCTACATAACCCATTAGCTGGTGACCTTGAGCAACTCTCTCCTCATCCTTGAAGTTTGGTTTGCTCATTTGCACAATGGGAATTATGTCCTGCCCACCCCTAAAACATTATGAGATAATGCATATTATAAACAATTATAAGGCAAAATAATGTATAGCGGGATTCCTTTTTCTTCCCCTCCAGAGTAAAATAACCTCATGAAAGAGGAGAATTTGACCCTAGGCATTCATGAACAGCTTACCTTTTAAGGCCACAAGCACTGTAGAGACTGTTTCAATGTTCCTGATGCTGGCTTTATATGCTCTCTTCAAGTAAACTAACTTTTCTTCTCTGGAAAAGGAGCTCAGCCCTCCATCTAATCAACCCTGGCATGAAAGATAATGGAGAAAAGTTAACAACTTTATGCCCTACCATGGTGGCACCCCTGAGAGACTAAATATGACCATCTGAATCATCTTGCCTGAGGACCTGGAGCAAGGTGGCACCTCGCTCAAGAGTCTCATGTGCAGCATGCAGTCTCCATGGTACTGAGCACCCCAACTCTCAGGCAAGTACCATTGAGTGGCCCCAGCAGCCAACACTGTCCAGGGGCAGCATGAACTGGAGGGACACTAGGAGAGCTGCCCTTTGAGGAAAAACTCAGCTTGCTCCCGTGCCTGGGGGATGGTCGGTCCAGGGAATAGTGCTGGCAGAGGGTGGGGGTGGGAGTGGGGAGAAGAGGCTTCAAGTCTCAGTGATGCTCATAAGATCCTGAGGACCAGGACAGTGGCTTGGACATTGCAGCTTCCCATCTGCTCATTGTGACAGTGGCAGCCATACACAGACAATCAATTTGTCCACCTTCTTCTCAGCCACGCTTCTCTCAGGTGCGTGCTGCCATTTGGCGACCACCTTTTCCTTTCTAGGCTGCTCTCAGTGTTCATTTATCACTTAATTTCGCCAGCATCAACTGGTGGACCAGGAGGAGGTGAAGATAGCCTGATTCTCTTGTGCCTCCCCCACCCTGCACACACCCGGAACAGGCCTCTCCATACCCGACCCCCTAGGACAGCCTCTTGAAATCGGGAAACCAGTAGCACTGTCACCATCCACTCTTTGCACTGTCATTTTTTTTAGCTCTTTTTCTGTGTTTCCCCTATCTTTCATGTAACTTCCACCCTGGCTCTCTTTTTTCTCTGTTCCCTCCTTTTTAGGGCTGCCTGCCAATGTTCCTAAGAGAGTTACTTTAGCCACTTCAAACTCAGATGTCCCAGAAGCCAAGCAGGTAACTCCATCAAGGTTGGCCTGGTCTGAACAGAGCACCTGAAGCGAGTGTAGTCCTGGACGTTGCCCCAGCTGCCGTGCATATATTATTTTATGTATTTTCTATTATGTTATTTCAAGGATCCAAAAGTCTAAATTTTCATATGAGATCTCCAGAAATGATAAATGTCGGCAAAATAATTCACATTTCAAAAAATGTTGTGAAGGCCAAAGTAAACACTGACCCCAACAGGGTGCCATTTGTAAACTTGTGTGCAAGCCCATCGGTGACCCTCCCGGGGAAGGGTCCCGTGGCCTACAGCAGCGTGGCAACTCTGTCAGTCCCCACATGCCTCCTATTTTATAACATATGTAATGATACCGCCTTAACCAACCTAAGTAACATAGTGTAGGCTATCTCCATTTATAATTTTTAAAAATTCATTAGAATACTTTAAGATGGACCCAAAGGGGAAAGAAAAATAATTTGAAATAATACGTAGTTTGATGAACACCCTCAAACACAACTATGCTACAAGGTTCCTAGAATGCCCTCCAAGGAGTGGTACCAACCCTGGTTAGATTCTTCTGGAATGAGCAGGATCTATCCTTGAGCATTTTTTCTTTCTCATGGCCCCTCACCCTTTGCAGAAACACTTCATAGTTACTTTAAATTTGTCCCTAAACTTGATCCGGAGACCCTTTAGTCATGGCCAAGAGATGCAAGAACTGCTCTGAGACTACTCTATCCCTTTGGGATGTCTTCTCCCCAAGTGTTTCCTGGCTCCCACTCCTTCCTGGGTCCCCGATCCCTCTCGAGGGCCAGGTGAATATGCCTCAAAATGGCAGACACGCGGAGTCAGCAGATTCAATTCCCGCTGAGTCACAAATTTAAATTAAAGGCATAAACAGAGATCAGATTTTGCTAACATCTCTAATTGTATTTTAGTATTCAATTTGTTCTTGCGGGATGAAGCCCACTCGGTATAAATTCATTGTGGGTGTTTCTCTGCTGCTTCTTATGATGCCCTTACATTCCTATGCTTTCGTACATTAGAAGTCTGGTTCAGTTCCTTTTTTAATCCCCAACTATTAATTTTCTAAAGTGGAGATTCTAATATGAATTACGGGTCTGAATAAAAACAGTTACTGCCAATTTTCTGTTGCTTTCCTAGTTTATACATTCTTCTCACCTTCACAGAAGTCCTGGGCACATATCATACGTCCAGTGAAGGTTGGGAAGCTGGGAATTTCCTTGCAGTTGAATAATTTCTCAACCAGTTCCTTGTCAAGTTCTGGACTTTGGGTAGTGATGTGGTCCAAGATTACAGTTAAACCAGGGCTGAAAAAAGGAGTCTGTAGGTGTGTCTGTTATTACAACAGACCCCGGCACAATCCCTACAATGTGGGAATAAATAAATGATTACAGAAGAAAGTCACTTAGAGTTTACTTTTGACACGTAGTATGTAATCTATCCTGCCAACATTAATTTGTGCTATTTGCTAATGATTGTCCCTGTTTTCATCTTTTAAATCATTTTCTTTTCCAAATGCAATTAAATAATAACATTATGAACAGGCATTTACATTTGCTGTCTTTCCAGATTCACATTTACAATGTGATGGGGTTTAGATCTCAAGACAAACATGACTCTTGGACATGCAAATTAGTCAGCCTTAGGGCTCAAATTTGCATAAATTAGGTCAGGAATAAACTAAATGAGTCTGCCAACAAGTAGCTTTCATAAAATGATGTGACTGCTTGATATTTAATTTTCTCTAGACTCCTTGATGACTCTAATTTCTCTGCATCTCTATCCTCTCTCCAGCTCTCCTTCAACCCCTTCTCTCCTCTCTGACCCCAGGTAAATTAGGCCTGTTGGCTGACCTTCCGATGCTGCAAAGAAGCTTGCTCATGGGACTTAGGGACTCAAGTCTCAGAAACTTGAGAAACCATTTCCTGACAGCCATTATTCTCCCTGCCTAGAATGCTCTCTTGTCTCTCTACACACCCCTTCATTACACTAAAACCAACTCATTCTGCAGGTGTCATCTCAAGTCACTTTTTTCAAAAAGTCGGAATCCACGGAGGGGAAAAAAATTAAAAGCATCACAGATAGGTTTTCCCGAGGCTCAGCTTTTGACCTGGTTTCTACCCCATTCTGATTTCTGTTTAGAGCCTGGATAAGGGGTTATTTATTGATAGTGTCCTAAACTCTCTCTGTCCTAACCTAACATTCATCACACTTTTTGTAATTACTCACTTGTTTGTCTATTCCCCTGATAAAACATAAGCTCTATAAAGTCAAGAGCAATGTCTGTTCACTGTTGTCTCCCCAGGCCTAGCAGTATGCCTATGATACCAGATATACTCAACCAAAACTTGTTAAATGAATAAATGCTTCCATAGAGATTCTGTAGAGGAAAGACCTACAAATACAACCAAAGGGCCAAATCCAGCCTGTCTTTATAAATAAAGTTTTATTGTAACACAGCCTAATCAGCTAAGGAAGAAGAGGGGAGGGGAGGCCCTGGGAAAACCTCAGGAAGCAACACCTGGCCCTTCCCTAAAAGCCCATGCTGATCTCTTCTGGGGTGTTGATGAGGAAAAGACACAGCCAAGAAAAGGGGTGTAGTCACTGACATGAGCTCAAAGCAATGTTTTCCTAAAAGCTATGAAGTCGTCTTACTTAGCTGACAAGGCAAAATACTTAGTATTTTTTTTATGTGAAAGCACTCATTTCTGCCACTTATAAGCCTCAGAATTTACTCTCTCAAAACTTAGTCTTATCTTCAAAACATATTTCCTACAAATTCTTCCACTCTTGCCCTTTTGAACATCTAAGACCACCTGCACTAGAGGCAGTGGGTTGCCATGGAGAAAAAAAGAGGAAGATAAAAAGGAAATATTTCTTTAAATTTCTTTAAATTTCCTCAAGCCCAGCCTCCTGACACTTTTTAGCCTGTGTGGGGTTCTGCTGGGCTCTGAGTATGTTGGTGTATTTTGGCAGCTACCCCACATGGAACAATCGCTTAGATTTAATCTTAGAAATCAACCCGTCTCACCTATTCCCTGTGATGTACCAATTCTGATAACGGTAACGTCACAGCACCAGGCATGATGCAGCAATTTGATTAGCTCCTGAAGCATAATAGAAATGCAGCAGATGCCAATGTGATGCTATTGAGAGAAAAGAGAAAGTCATTACACATCTTGCAAGCTGTACAGGACACATTTTCTTCCTTCATTACAAGTTAACAGCCCTCAGATAAATTTACATAATCATTATGACTTTGCTAAAGCTGAGGAAAACCTAAGTCAGCTCTAAGTGACGCCTACATGACATGCTGATGGATGTGTCCATCTGTGAGGATTAGAGAGAGGCATCTTCCTGACAGTTAAACTGAGCTCAGCCCTCCTGGTCAAGAGCAGAAGGTGGGGATGGCATGGTGGCCTGGCTGTCGTGGCAATGCCATTTCTCATCTCCCCACCAGGCTCTTTTCAGTGAGCCTTTGAAAGAGCTTCTTGCAAAATTGACTTGATTTTGAGGAAATATAAGTCTGGCTGCCATGTAATTAGTCCTTTTCCACCATACTAAATGAAGTAGTAAATCCATTTCATTGCCCTCATGTGGCCTCATTCATTTGCTGCTAGTTCTGTGTGCGCTCTGAAAGGCATGTGGGTGGAGACATGGCGTACATCCACACTTACCCGTTTGGAGTGTTTATGGAACGTGTAGGTGATGTGCAGGTGCCCTAGATCGTGACCCTGCTTTCCTCAGTGTTTGGAACAGTAGAACCAATGTCACCAGAACAGGGGTCAGCACAGGTTAGAGGACTTAATGACTTCTAGTAGTTAGAATATGTTTTAAAAACTCTCCAGAAATACCCTCAATGCTGGAATTTGTGGTGGCTGGATATGAGTTTGGAGTCAGTGGCTACTTCATTCCTAACATAATATCAGAGAGTCAAACATGTTCTTCAATAGATTCTCCTCTTGGGCACAAGACTGTGGAAAAGCAGCCGTTCGGCAATCATGTGATGCCTGCCATTCAGTCTCCCATTAACAAATTTGGAAAGCCATTACAATGCTGATCATGAGATTTTCACCTGAGCCTCCTGCCTGTCACCAACAAGAACAGTAAACTATGGAAACTGAACCTCTGGGCTCCCCATTTATGGTTCCCGTAGCACATATCCTGACTTCCAAATGCGGTGTAAGTTTCCTGAAGATATGAATCAAACCTGTATTAATTCGTATGTCCAAGATTAACAAGGCTGGGCTTTGGCACTGGCTTTGCCACTACTGAGTAGAGTCTCTAAATCTCACTTACCTCAACTGTAAATTAAGAGAATGAACCATTATTTGATCTGTTAGGTTCTTTCTAAATCATAAGTTTTATAGGTTTATGATTATCATATATTATGGGACATGGTGATGAAACAGCAAATGGGCTTGTGTATTTTTGCTAAAGTCCCTCTCCCTCTCACACACACACAGACACACTGACACATCTCAGCAGCTGCTGGAGAGGAAGAATTTTCAAAGAAGAGGGTCCCAAATGGAAATGAGGCCCATTTCTAATTGGCTGACCCCTCTGGGCATGATAGATATTTCAGCTTTTTCCCTGGCAGGACAACAAGATCAGTCTACTGCTACTTTTATATCTTAAACTCTGAAGTTTCATTGCTTGTTTATGATAGTTTCATACTTACATAAACCTTCATTTTTTTGTCCTCAACGACTGTGCAAAAAAGGACAGTTGTAGTCTGAAAGTCAAGCAAAATTTAGGAAGACAAAATTTACAAGCGAAGAGGGTATTCAGTGTCCTTCTAATATAGATATTCTGTAATTGCTAAACATAAATGATAGATGAGTGGATTCTCCCATTTGAACCCAAAGCAGGTTTTAGGCATTCTTGCCCAAAGGGGAGATCAAATCTGCCACCCCACTGACCTTGCATAGTTTTCCCTTCTTTACTCCAGGCTTGCATCGCCAGGTACTACAAAGTGACAGAAGGATGAAGGCAGCTGTTCCCTCGGTGATGCAGGAGTCACACAGAATCCAGCTCCTGAGAACTGTCTTACCTGTGCAGTGGCCTCTGCCCCTGTTCCCTGGCATGCCTGGCTATGCCCCTTATGAGGATAGTAGTGTGCATATTTGAGACAGGCTCAGAGCTATTGTTTCAGCATCCAGCCCTGTGGCAGAGATGAACTTAGGAAGGCAAGCTAGAGACCCGTTCGTATATGCAGTCTCCTGAGTGGATGCCACCCTGAAAATCCAGGAGGGAAATGGTCTGCGTGTTCCCTAAAATTACAAATCGTTCTACTTTCATTCTGTCTTAGGATACGTATGTGTCCAGAGCGGTTAAGATGTTCTGCAGACAGGAGAGCAATTCACAAGAGCTCCATAGAAATGCATTAGCAGCTTTTCAGCGAGTTTATGATAGTGTCAAACAGCTCTGCTTTGGCAATCTTGAAAATTGGCCCCTGTGTACTAAAAGCTCAAAATTTCCAAAGCTGGATAAGGGATAGAGGAGAAAAAAATGCTGGTGACTTGATCATTTACAAACTAAAGAGAGAAGGTGTACTTTGAGGGCTGTTCCCCCTAACTTGAATAGCTAAGTGGTAACTAATAAACTAAAGTGACACCCAATGCTATGTTGAGCCCTTAGGACTTTTTTCAGCAATGAATGTCACACCTGGATGCTTAATTATGTGAAAATGGAAAGCAGAAGGGAAAACAGAATCACGTAGTTGGAGTTTCCCCACTTTTTTCTGCTAGCTTTGATGACTCCTTAAAGTGCAACTATTGAGCACCTACGCTGCTGGAGAGCTCGGGACCAGTTCTGCACATACAGTGTTCACCTGTCCCAGCACAGATGTCCCATATGTCCTCTACACTTTTCTCCAACCTGAGCTCCTTGTGCATAAACAGGGCAAATGCTTTCATTCTGCTGGGATTCCCACCAGCACAAACCGTAAATAGAAATGAACAATTACCTGTCTTACTGGCTAGGTTAAGGACCAAGGGTCAGCTTTCTACTTTACTCTTTTTATTTTATTTTTCAGTAATTTACTCAACAGTATGTGTAGAGGTTATGAGTTATGTTACTGCATTAATTAATTTGCATTATTAAATTGTAAGTAAGGCAATCAGATACAAATTTGGGTGTACTTAATTAGTAAAGGAAAAGATTAAAATAAAAAGTAAGGGTTGCTTTTGTTCAAGTAGGTGTTTCTCAGAGATTTTCTTTGTTTTTTTACAGTCAACCTCACCCAGCATCTTAGTTTGGTATAGACAGCCTGTAGTTCTGCATTAGCAGGCTGAATGCTTTGTATGCCAATATAAAGGAATGGAATGTAAGTAACCTGAGAACAGAAGGAGAACTGTGAGTTTGAGATATGTTTTCCCATCCCACATCCTCAGTCCTAAGTTTTTATTGTACAATGTTCTATGCTACTTAAATCTTTCAAGAAATCACATCCAAACTTCCCAACTTCTCATTCAGAAGGAATTCTCAAGAAACAAGTCTTGCCATTATAGACTGGAAATCTCACTATGGTATTTCATCAATTCCAATGACTTGTTTTTGTTTGATTCACATTTTAACATCTCTGAAATAACAACGGATTATGCAGTCAAGGGTGGGTGTCAAATCTCAGAAAATATGATGATAAAATTGCCTGGTAGTAGCTTGTGCAATAGCGTATTAGATGTATATCAGCCCCTGGGATGGAAGAGGTGGATTCCAGAAAGAGGATGGGAGTGGCCGAATGGCAGCGTGGATGAACAGCCAGCCTGGTGAGCCCCAGTGGGGACAGTGAGCAGCAGCAGATGGCAGGGACCTGAGGAGGTACGGCCCGCAGAAAGGCACCAGGCGCAAAGCCATTTGGGAATCTAAGCTAAGCAGTGAAGTACACAGTCTGCAGATCTGACTCAGAGGCAAGGCAGCTCAGTGGTTAAGAGCCTGTCGTTTGACATTAAATAAACCCGGCTTTGTACCCCAAACCCATCCTTGACAAGTAACATGCTAGTGTTAGACATGTAATCTGTGTGCCTCAGATCATCATCTCCAAAATAGAACAACACAGCCCCCTTTGATGGGTGTTCTAAGGATAAAATGGGACTGAACACAGTGGAGGTCAGGGCTCAAAGCCGGGCACCTTCCAAGTATTCAGCAGACGGTAGCTACTGTTTTCTCATATCACGTACTTTGAGATTGCTTATTGCAGAATTTAGTACAAATGAAGCTGGTTCAAATCCAGTTAGGAAAAGGCAGCTGGTGGTGCCTGACTGATGTGGGCAGCACCAAGTAGAGGATCCCAAGGACTGCTGGTGAGACCCCTCACAGGTGTAAAGATCACCTGTCTACGGAAATACCTAACTGAGGTTGCAGAGCAGCCACCCCAGTTGACAAATGATTTACTGGGACTCTTGGGAGGTCTGACATTCTGTCTCCATTTAGCGATAATTCCTGTGCCACACTCAGTTTCAGTTACAGGATGTGATTATCCTTTGATCCAGGCCCCTCTGCTTCTCTTCTACCATCATGATGGCCTTTTCTGTGCCTTCTTATGAGTTTCTCTGACCTAAAGTTGGTAATGAGCTGCAATGAAAGGTAGCCGTAAAGGCTGGGAAGCAAAGAGGATAAGGCCATGGTCTAATGTGAGTTTTTAAATTACTATTGTTTATTCATGAAATTTTTCCTTTTTTTGGCAGAGGTTATGAGTTATGGCTCAAGATCTAAGTACAAGGAGGTAATTTTTGTTGTTGTTTTCTTTTTACAAAATACAGTAGTTTGAAAAAAACCTCATTGTGTGGTGCCAGTGAATGTAAATTACATCTATTCAGATTGACCATAAAACCAAAACAGATGTTAGAATAGCTTGTGGTTTGAATTCCTCTTTGAACTGTAGACACTCTTGTAATCAACAGGAATTTCTGAAAGTATCTGGAGACATAAAGATGCTATGTATAGACAGAAGCATTTTCATTCTTGAAAACTTATTCCTAAATCAGTCTTACTAAATATCACCTCTAGACACAATTTTCAGTCTGGCTGCTTTAATAAGAAGTAAAATATGGCTGCAGACCACCCATCAACATTGGCCCGAAGTGATGCTTTCTGTGATTCATGTCCCAAGCCAAGTGATCATTTGTCCCACTTTTATCAAAGATAGAAATGCATTGGGAAGGAGTCCGAAGCATTTAAAAAATATATTAAGGCCTTTGCCTAATGATTGCCGGAATGAACTCACTTCTAAATACACATAATGCCTTAAAAGACTTAACTTGGCCATGTTGTATTAACCTGGTCCTACTGCAGTATTTGTATATTAACAAAGCAGTAGAAGCACTTTAAAATATATATTACAGAGATTATAAGGTCATTCTTTTCTATGTTACTTGAAATTTCTAAGGAGAAATTGGAGAGTCCCAGTTAAAGATTTTATAAAAGGTGTATTTAAATGTTGAGTTTGCATAGATAACTTCTAAACATCCTCCATCAGATTTTTCAGTTGCTTAACTCATTCCAGGCACTGTGACAAAAACTGATTAGCTGTTCACCAAAGCTCTTTCCCCTTATTTGCAGGTGTATAACTCAACTTTCCAGACCCTTTTCTAGTTAGTGGAGGCCACATATCTGAGTTGCAGCCATCAAAATGTGAGTAAAAGTGATGGCTGCCACTTCCACTCCTGGCCCATAGAAGTTTCCCACTGGTGATCCTACAGATTCTCTTCTCCTGTCTGCTGGGTGGGTGTTGACACCCAGGGAAAGTAAGCCACTCCTTGAAGGTAACAGAGCAAAATAGATGGAAGGAACCTGGACCCTGAATCACCAATTGGTGGAAAGCCATCCTTTGATCAAGAACATCCACTTTGTACTCAGTGTGAGTACTAAATTTACATCTTAGGTAAATGATATTTTGAAGTAGAGCTAGCATACCCTTTTAAAATATAGCAAACAAAGAAATAGGAATGATAATTAGAATCTTTTAGGTTTAAATTTTATATACCTAGAGTTCTCCTTTCCTTTAAAGATAATGTTATTAATAATAGTTATCATCTCTGTGTCTGTGAAGACAAGACTGAGTTTTCACATATGTTGGATTGTGTCCTCTCTTGTTAGCTAGACTTGCTGCTCTGGGATTTAAGGGAGTCAAGAAACTGAACCTAGTATGTTCTTGTTCAAAGATAAGAATGTGGCTGGAAGAAGGCAAGTTTCTGAGAAAAGCAAAGCATCTGTGAATATAAATCAGATGCTACCTACTGCCTCTAGAGGATCCTGTTGTAGATTAAACAGCCAGTCAGAGTATTTGAAACTATATTACCTGCTCCCCAATCTATGTGCGTGCACGCACGCGTGCACACACACACACATTTTTGCCTCTTATTCATCAAAATGGCCCAATAAATAACGTTGCTCTCTGGTGGGACTAATCGGGTTCTAAACCACAGCATGTCTTTTTATCGGAAAGAATTTACTCAAGGGGTTCACAACCAGGTTCATAGTTTACAAAGTTGGATGGTCGTTATGAGAGACAGAGAGTGGGAATAAGTGCTGATGAAAATCCAGTCAGGTAGAGAGGTAGAGGCCTGATTCCTAGTATTGTAACAATATGAGACAGCTCTCTGTGTGTGTGTGTGTGTGTGTGTGTGAGAGAGAGAGAGAGAGAGAGAGAGAGAGAGAGAGAAAGAGTCCCATTATTTTCATGTCTAACACAAAGCTTTCCATTCTAATGACATCCGGGAAACTAACACTTAAAATACCAAAATGCAATGCTTTTTCATTTCAAATGGAGAAAGAGCCATTACTCTATTCATCAGAGAAACCTAAGGTTTCATCCCAGCTCTTTCACTTACCAGCAGTGTTATGCCCATTACCAGGTCCCCTAGAGGTGGGAGGGGAGGAAGCTATTTAGTACCTACTGTTAATGAGCGTGGATTTATTTCTTCTCTTCTCCCTTCCTTCCTTCTTCTTCCTCCCATTTTCTTCCATACCCCTCCCACTTAACAGACTATTCTCAGAGACCACCGAGGGCAGTGGGCAAGAACCCTGGAAACTGGACTTGGAAGGAGCTGGTCCAAGTCCCAGCTCTGCCACTGAATGGTGTAACTTGTTCACCTCCTTTGACCTCTCTGAACTCAATGACCTACTTTTATGGAGGAAAATGAACATCTGCTAAACTCACCTAAAAGAACTAATGTAAAGATTTGAAAGATAGTGGATCTAAGAGCTTCTCTTTTGTTCTTGTAATTGCTAAAGAAGTGAATAAAAATCAGATGCAAAAAACCATACAATTATCTGCTGGTGGGACACTGAATAGGTATAGGCCTTTCGGAAAACCAAAGATCTTTACAAAATTCATTCTCTTTGACCATTTCTGTGAATCATCCTAAGCAAATAGACGTCAATATAAAAAATCTTTAGACACAAAAACATCCATTTGAGAGCTGTTTATAACAGAAAATAGCAGAAAAGTCCATAGCAAACTATGTAATGTATGGCACAGTCATAAACAATGACATCTATAAACAGTGTGTTTCAAAGAAAATTACACAATATAAGATGTTAATGATATAAAGTTAAGTGAAAATTCAGCATACAAAGTTACATAATTCCAACTATTTTAAAATTTATTAAAAAGCATTAGAAACAAAATAGTTTGATGATATTTATATTTAGATGATTGGTGTTTTTCTTTTTTTTTATATTTTATTTTTTATTTTGGTATCATTAATCTACAGTTACAGAAAGATATGTTTACTAGGTTCCCCCCTTCACCAAGTCCCCCCCACATACTAGATGATTGGTATTTTTAGGTGTGTTTTTAAAAATCACTGTTCTTTATACTTCCCCAATTTTAAGTAATGAACATGAGCTGCTTTTATAATATATATATGTATATATATATATAATTAACATTAAATAAATAATACAGAAGTACAATTTTCCTAGCAGTGTTCCATAAACAATTTTCTTGTATTTCTTCTGAAATAAATATTAATAATATTAATAATATGAAATATTTGATAATGGTTATTTTCAAGAACTCTGAACCATCCAGCAGTATTGCCAATAAAACTGTATTTACCTCCAGGGACCAGAGCACCCAAATAATCATGTTAGTATTAGATTTAGTCGGAAAACCTTCAGGTCTTGTTGTGGTAGAAATGTCTGTTCGTGATATACACATTCTAAGTTGTTTCAGAGAATAAGTGTGGCTTCAGTTCCCACCCTTCTGAGGTATGCCCTGCTGAGGGGACATTGCTCTCTGTACATGTCTGCACCTCCTCATCTCCTCGGTTCTCCACAGATTATACAACCAGTAGAGTAGAGCATTTTCTTCTTTTAAAATTTTGTTTATTGCAATAACGTTGATATACACTATTATGTTGGTTTCATATGTATGATATTATGACTTGATAATCATATATATTACTAGATGCTTGCTACAATAAGTATAGTTACCCCATTATCATACCAAGATATTATAATAGTATTGGTTATATTCACTGTGCTGTACTTCCATTCCTATATCTAACTTATTTCACAGTCTGCATTTTCTACCTCTTTATCCCCTTCACCTATTTCATTCATCCCCTACCCCCTTTCCTATGGTAACTGACCAGTCTGTTGTCTACATTTGTGGGTCTATTCTTTGTTTTTTAGATTCCACATATAAGTGAAATCATATGGTATTTGTTTTGCTCTGCCTGCTTATTTCACCTAACATGATACCCTGTATGTCCATCTGTGTTGCAAATGGCAAGAGTTCTTTCTTTTTTTCTGGCTTAGTAATATTCCAGAATTGTGTGTATGTACTACATCTTCTTTATCCATTCATCTATCGATGGGTACTTGAGCTGCTTCCATGTCTTTCTTTTGGAAATAGTGTTATAGTGCACATAGGTGTGCATGTATCTTTTTGAATAAGTGGTTTTGGTTTTTGGGGGCAAATTCTCAGAAGTGGAATTGCTAGGTTGTATCTATTTCTATTTTTAGTTTTTTTGAGGACCCTCCATATTGTTTTCCACATGGGTGCACCAATTTACACTCTCACCAACAGTTTAGGAGGGTTCCCTTTTCACTATATCCTCACCAACACTTGTTATTTCTTTTCTTTGGGATACTAACCATTCTGATTGGTGTAAGGTGATACCTCACTGTGGTTTTGATATGTATTTCCCTGATGACGAGCAATGTGGAGCACCTTTTCATGTATCTACTGGCCATCTGTATGTTTTCTTTGGAAAAATGTCTGTTCAGGTCCTCTGTCCATATTCTAATTGGATTATTTGGGGGGTTTTTTGGTGCTGAGTTATACAAGTTCTTTATAAATTTTGGATATTAGCCCCTTATTAGAGGTAACATGTGCACAGATATTCTTCCACATAGTAGGGTGCCTTTTTGTTTCATTGAGGGTAAGTGGAGCATTTTCTGAAATGCTGATATGACGGAGGCTCTAAGCAAGAATTTTCAGACAACTCTCAGAGAATCAGAGGGAACTTGAAAAAATTCTTTAAGTCTCACGAAGATTAATGCTCTGTTATGTTTTGTGAACCTGGGACAAGAATTGGAGGTAAATTTGCAGATAGTTTTGGCAGATTTATGTCCACCTCTGAGATGAATAACATACATGGTATTTAGAAATGAATTCTATGTAAAGTCCATCACAAAGCATATGAAATCACTTCATAATATGCTGCAACACAGTTAAATCTCCCCTAGGCACTGGGAGGCCTCTTTCATTATTTCTCAGATACAGCCCAGGATCTGGGAATTAAAGGCTGAACTTCAGACCGAACTTTGAAATTTGTTCACTCTTGCAGGTTGGCTAAACTTTTGCTTTCTTTTTTGTGATTTTCTTTTGCTCCACTTTATTTTTTTAATTAAGATAAAATTGGCATTTTGCCCCACTTACTTAGATGAGCAAACAGTCTCCCACACCCAAGAACCAAGGAACTGAAAGTGTCATTTGGAAGAAAATTTGCATTGTTTTGTTTTGTATTATGAGTTGTGTTCCAACCATATCATCTCAAAACTTAAGAAACTTACATAACAGCAGAGGTCCATCTTCTGAACATATAATATGAAATCCAAAAGAATATCCATCTCATCAAAACAAATAAAAAAAAACAAAATCACTCACCTAACATATGTGTTCCTGTCAGGTTTCATGGATTTACTGGAATCAGGAAAAATCAGAGCCATACCCCATGCTATATGGATAGTCACTCTTAAGTAAAAAAATATTGTGGTTTGCTATTAAGTTATAGATCAAATCATAGTAGTTCAGCTCCCAGTTAGAATGACACCCTCCCTTAAAACTCATGTTTTCTTCTGAAATTACTAACAGAATTTTTCCTTAGCATTCAAAACTCTGTTATCAATTCAGAAGCATCCTCCCTGGCATTGCCTTCTATACTACAGCCCAGCTCTCAGAGCAACATTTCCGCAAGTAGGGTGGGCTCCTTGGGAAGATGTGGCATCCTATCTCTTCGATCAGATTGGTTAGCTTATTAACCGCTGACCTGTGCACCTTTCCCTCACACCTGGTCTTGATCCCAGGGTGAGTCTGGTGGAGCACACAGACTTACTTGCCATGGGACAACTGTATATGGGTACAAATCCTCCATTCATTTCCATAACAACTCCATCAGGTTATCCCAAAAATGTACCCAGTACACATGAAAACCTTCAGTTCCCAAACATTTCACTTTCCACCCATCCTACCCCTCACCAATGTGTTTGCACTTTTTATGATCACAAGCGAAGCGAACATTCAAAGTCAGGACCTCAGGACTTCATCACACAGAAGGTGTAATCATTAAGCAAAACCTGTTTCCTAGAGCCTAAACTCTAGGTGGCTTGCAATGTCCCATGAACCAGCTGTCAGAGGTCAGTCCGGGAAGAATAATCAAAGACAGCCTAGTATTTTCAGAAAACAGACTGTGTCTCTTAAGAAATCCATGAATGTACTACTCTTGTTGCTGTTTCTCACTTTACACTTTGGGGATGGAAAAACTAAACTTAGGGAAACTTCATCTGGTTCCTTTTTGCCTCGGCCCTCATGCAATCAGCTGAAGGTCATTGCTGGCAAGAGCTTCAAGAGCATTAGTCTCGTGGCTTTGATGAAAATCAGAGCTTAAAATGCTCATAAGTATCCAAATGGCAGCAGATACAAGGCATTTCATGATGTGCACAGATTTCTCTGTAAGAATTGCATTAACAGTGAATAATCAAACACTGAAACCTTAACTGGGGTCTCCATGTCAGAAGATACTGCTCTTGCTGGTGAAAGTCACTCTGAACAAACCCCCCTAATTCCACGCTGGCCTCCTCCGGTCCACTTTGGCCAGCCTGCAAAGTTTACAGAATGAGAGGAAAAGAAAACAGGGACCCAATATAGTATCTAAATCCTGCCACTGCCACCACTAAGGAGACATGTGTAACTTTGACCAAGGTATTCAAAAGTGCCTGAGGAAACCGCTTAGTAAATGTAATGACACCTTTGAAGTAAATAAGCCCTAAGCTGTGTTTGGCTTTTATGATCTGTTGCTGTGTGTAGCTTATAATAATACAAGTATCTCCTACTTCATGACCCACCTCAAACCGGCCTACGTGCCTCTCTTTCCCAAGGACCACGGACAGTTTTGAGACTCAACATGCCCGCTTACCACCTCTGGGGCTTTCACACTTTTATTTGGTATTCCATGCTGTATCTCTCAATTTATTTTTAGGACATAATGAGAAGGACCCACCAAATTCCAGTCTGGCATTTACCTCTGGCTCTGACAGGTGGAAGTGTTAGCTAATTAGATAAGTGTTAAATAATTAATTACTCCAGTGAATTAATTAAACTGATTAACACATCTGTTTCCAGTGCAAATTCTGTCAGCCAATGATCTTGATCACTTACAGTGCCAGCCAGGTAATGCCAGCAAAGATTTATGGACCCTGTATAACAACTCCCCAGGACAGTAAGGCAAGCGGTCATCATTTAGGTGAAGTGCAGAGTAGTTTTATAGAATCCATGAAAGCAGAGTACTAATAAATGTCTTCTGGGTAGTATTAAATTATATTCTCTATTCTCTAGTTTTCAATCTTTCCAAGACTCAATTCTACTCTTATGATAGGTTGTTCCTTGAAGATTTTTTTTTTTTATTGACTGCATTGCAGAAGGCCAGTCACCTGATCAGGAAGGGAAAATATTTTGTTCTTAGAAAGCATGCACACAGGACTGCATAAAGCAAACTCCGTCCGTCTCTGGGCATTTCACAAACGGAGGTTGAGTGCCAGGCACGGCCCCATGACTCAGCACAGCCTTGAGGTCTGCAGGACCTACACGCATCAGCTCTGCCAAATCCATGCTCCACAGTGTCTGGCCAGAGACAACATACTTCACTTCCCACCATCTTCCTCCACAGCGACAGCATTTTCATATTCTCACTCCTTGACAAGTATTTTCTTAATCTGTCTTAATTTTGCCCTGAAACTCTAATGTTTGAATAAAGAAGTCAGAGTCCTAGCATAAAACTGGATAGCATTTGGGCCTCTCCCCATTTGGCACACTTTCTGCTGAATATGGAAGACTTACTCATGTGCACCTAGAACCATACCCGCCCCTATAGCAAGGGAGGCGCAGGGCTGGGAACACAGGGCTCCCAGAACCTGGATGCAAAGGCCGGGCATCACCTCGTGCCAGGCTGTGCCGCATTCTGAGGACGCAAACAGGATGAGTGGGGTGGTATCTGCTCTAAGGAATTCACACTCCGGTGGGGAAGGGGGATGAATGGCACAGAATATGGCAGGTGCTGTGAAAACTCAGAGGAGAGGCCCCAGACCCAGACTGGGGAGGCAGGGACTTCCAGAAGGATGTGATGCCTGCATTGGGTCTGGGGAAAGATGAAGTCCCCCAAAATACTGCTGCAGGTGGACATGGGGTGAATATGAGAGGGCTGTGCTCCTGTCCCAAGGAACAACACAGACAATTCATAGAGGTGACTGAAAAAGCATCGCGTTTCAAGAGCTGTTAGTAGCAGTACGTGATTTTCTTCCATGTATTTGCACCAAAACTTCTCACACAGGGCCTTGGTGGCTCTCAGTTTTTGAGATTCTGGTATTTTTAAAGAGAAAGAAAGGCCGAAAAGGCCAATATTATACTAGTAGTAATATATTTTGAATGTTTACGTTTAATGACTTGGCATCTTAACTCTTCATAAACAATACAGTCAAATTTACAACTCACAAGACATTGCAGGGCTTCTAAGAACATTTAAATCATCACACACTGTAAGTTTACTAGAGCACAAGTTTATGTTCTTCCCCCTGATTCTCCCCTTCTTCCAGTGTAGTTGGGGAGTCTATGCATATATGCACATAAAGTCTAATTTTAGACCAAATGGCCCCTGGGTCCCGTGGGGCTAGGCCTGCCTCCCTGAAGCCAGGCCTTGGGGCTCTGTTCCTTCCTCTCACACTAACCCCTCTTCTCTAGGCCTGGAGGCTCTGCTCTTAGGATGCCTCTCTGTGAGGTTGTGAGGTACACATTGAACTCATACTAGTTCAGCAAGGCTGCAGCCAACACCACCGTCCAGGAAGGTCACACACACACACACACACCCCAGACCCAGCCTCACAGCCTGTGGGAGATAGGGGGGCAGTGCACAGCCCAGTCCCCATATGAACTCCTTGCTTTCTCTCTCTCTGCGGCAGGTCTCCCAGGGTGGGGACGGGTAACGCAGTGTCCCTACCTCCAGGGCACCAGATCCCCTCTCCACCATTTGGCCCTTAGCACCATCCACGGCTTGAAAGAACTTGAAAATGTCTTAAGTGATCCACTCTGATGCTAAGCAGTTTACTTTTTCATTTATTCATTCAACAAATATTTACTGAGTATACACTATGCTCCAGGAAGTCTAAGCAGACTTGGAGATACAGGTATGACTGAGACAGCTCTGGCTTCTCTGATTTCTTCCACAAAAAGATTGACATTCATGAATAGAGAAAACACAGTTACCACATTTTTCATACTCACCTGTGTGTTGAAACACATACATGAAGTGTATCTTCATCCTTTTATTCTTCAGGCCTAATAACTAAAACTTATTGAATCTTTGAATCTTTCCTTAAGTGTTTATTTCCCAGTACACAGATTGTGGCTGTCTCAAATCCTTTTTGGAGGAAGGGGGGCATTAAAAACCCACAATTGGTTCTTTTATGGTGTAGATATATTGCAGCTTACCATTTTTACACCTAGGTGCAAAGACAGTGTACCTTCTTTTCTATTAGCCATCCAATCTTTTTCACTAGGCCTGCCATCCCGGAAGTCGGGGCAGAAGGTGGTAACTTTAAACTTGTCAATCAATAGCGTCTTCATGCCTTTGGTTTAAAGAGTCTCATTTAGATGACACGTTCTCTTTCAGACAGCTGCTCCGTCTTTCTAGTTTCCAGCCTCAGCCCACTGCTTCTGCGGTGAGACCTACTGAATGGTGAATGGTGTGGGCAGGGCAGGCTTTACCTGATTTCTTGGCAGTGAGAAAGAGGAGGGCTCCAGGAGGCAGGGGCTCAGGTCCTTGTCCTTCGGCTGCCTGGGGAGGCAGGTCAGGCCTCGCCCACTGTGTCCCTGGGAGGAATCTGTGGCTGTGAGGGTTGGTCTGTGGGTCCCTGCATGGGACCACTGAGAATCAGCTAGTCCCTCTTCGCTAATGGAACACCACTCTGGTGCCTTCCTTTGATGTCTGTGGCCTCTACTATTTGTCTCCAGCCTCAAAGCCCCTTTCCCTTGTGGCCTCCTTGCTCAGTCCCCTGGCCTCTGACAGCTCACAGGTGTCCGAGAACCTCTGTCTTTCTGGTGAGAACACTCAAGAACTTTGAGGCCCCCGATGCCAGACGTAGGCTCTGGGGAACACTGATGTTGCCGTTGGCTGTCTCTCTCTCTCTCTCCTCCTCCGCTACCCCTTTCCCACCCCAGGCTGGATGCGGGCCTGGGCTGCATAGGGAGATTCTCCTGGACACTTGCAACCTCTCCTGGGCTACGCTGAAAGATGCGGCCTCAGGCTCCAATGTGCTGACGCTGACTGATGCCGAGTTGGATGTTTGTGTCTCCCCTGAATGTCATCCCCAAGGGTGGATGGCCACCAGGGACCCTTGTCTGACCTTCTTGCTCTCTCTTGCCCTCTCATGCGTAATGAGAAGGTGAGGTCTTCTCTGTA